AAAAATATATTAGAATGAGTACATTAAAATATAAATTTATTAGAATGAGTACATTATTATTTATGGGCTTAAAAACAAGATGCAAACAATCAGAATATTGTACCTGGTGGGGAGTGCACAATGTAAACATGAAACATATGCCATTACCTATATTGTACTGTGGTACAGTTCTGGAGGCCCTTCATAATGCAGAGGTTAGCTGCCTGCTCTGCCAATAGTTAGAAATGGCACTATAGTAAGCAGTGTTTAATAAACAACTGTTTTTCTAAATTCTGCTGAAGTGAAATTCAGTGCAGTCCCGTATCGTGATACGTATCGTATCGCGGCCTCTGTATCGTGATACGTATCGTATCGTGACTTTGCTGGTGATACACAGCCCTAATTCACGATGTGCGAAATATTGGATGAAAATTCTAAACACTGAATTGGGAGTGGGGTTTATATGAATGGAGGGGAATGGACTGTCTTTTCTTTTCATCTTGCCTCCGTATAATGCATACTAAAGTAGTTTCATAAGCGCAGCGCTGTTGTGTTTACAGCGGTAACCAAGAAAACTTTGCTGCTCTTCCATAAGCGCCACCTGCTGTCAGAGGGTGAATTTGCATTCTCGTTCAGCCCGTCTGCTATTTTTGTTTCATGCTAATGTTTTATGTAGTACAGTTTCACAAACTAAAGTCAGACCATTCAGTTTTTGCTTTAAACTGTGAAATTATACAATTTAATTTGAAATTATACAAAAACTGTATAATTTTTTGTATAATTGTGAAATTGCTCATGCAGCATCTTTGTTTGGATAGTGATTAAAATGCAGTGGTTCTGCAACGGTTTCATGCATTCTGATTCATATGAAGTCCCAGTCAGGGAAAAACCGTGATAAACCATCAAACTGCCACAATCCTAAAAAAAAAAAAAAAAAAAACGTCAAACCGCCCAGCACTAACAGACTGATACAGGATTGTCAATTCTATTATATTATTATATATTAACTTAAAGTGAGTATTATGTGACAGCAAAAATCTAAATGTAAGTATAGCACATTCACAATAAAATGATTATCCAATGCCAGCAAACATATATACAGTATCAACCAATATAGATACATTTATATTAGAAATACTCAACTAAAAGTTAACGCTTGTTTTGTGTAATTATTGCATGTGAACATCACTAGACCTTTCACAGAACCAAGGTTACCATTTAGATAAAACTGGAAAAGGCACTATCTGAACTAAAAAAAATAAAATAAAAAAATAAACTACTAGGCCACAGCTCTGACGGCAATCTGAAAATGAAAATAAAGGATAAGATCTTTCAAATCACTCATCATTCACAACAATATTGTTATGAACTCATCTGTTTACAAGCAACTCCACATGCAAAATTGCATGACAAATATGCAAACCTTTCTGCTGGTGTAACTAAATACTCAGGTTTAGACAAAGGCTATGACGGGAGACAGGCTTCTGTGGGAGTTTTAGGAAGTTTGCAGTGAGCAGGTACACGTCATTCCAACAAAACCTGCATACCACTATATCCTACTTTCCCTTCCTTTCCTCAATGTTTTTTTTCTTCTCCCTTATTTCTATTCAGTAAGCAACCCTCATATTGGACTAAATTATGAATTTAGATCCTTTATAACTGGGATTAGCAATCACTAGCTTGCCTATAAGTACACTGAAATACTTCCAGATGACCCTGTCTGTTTACGG